CACACACACACACACTTCCCATGGAGTAGAAACACATGTCACCCCATAGTGGCCGAGTGTAGCACATCGCACTCACGTTTTATCCCTTTATTGTGCCCGAAATTCAAGGCAAGAACATAAAAACATAATACTTTAATACCTCGAAAGGAATTTATTTTTCATCAATACAGAGCTCTTGTACAAGTGATAGAGGGAGTTTAGTTTATTCCAGCTATATGGCGGCGGTCTGTAAATAAACCTCTTGTACAAAAGAATTCAAGGACAAGCAACACAACAAGTAACAAGTGATACATAAAACAAGTGCATACATGTATGTTTAACGATCATTTAAGAGACGAATGCTGAATGGAATAAATGTATTTTGAGCTCTATTTATTTTAAAACGCGGTAATTAATATCTCCTTCCAAAAGGAAGCTTGCCAAATTCACTGTGTGACACATTTTAGCACTTTTATTCCATCCAGATGAGCTAAAAGCACATATATACAGACGTGAGTACATAGCGTATAGGAACTCCCACAAAACACCATTTTCTACACCACTATATTACTACTTTTTACTGGTTACGCTGTGGGAATGCGCAGCCGCCCGTGATGAAACAGACAGGTGCTCAGTCGTACAGTTCCCCGCAAAATATTACACCTAAGTAACGTCCTTTGCTATTGGACAGAAACGTTACCGCTAGCCAATAACTAGATTGCTGCTGTAGGGTTATGGCGATCTGAACATGGCAGCCTTCATATAGCATGTGAAGGTCAAACTAGTGTTTGTTGAACAAGTCATATGTGACAGGTTGCGTTATACTTCGGGTACAACACTACAAAGTTTCAAGTAGTTTTCACAGAATCAGAGCTGACACACTCGGGATGATTTGAGAACATTCGTTGCGTCATTTTCAGGTTTGCAATCTTTAGTGTTCGGTTTTCGATCAACTTCAGTGAGTGAGTGAGCTTGGTTTTACGCCGCTTTTAGCAATATTCCAGCAATAGCACGGCGGGGGACCCCAGAAATGGGCTTCACACATTGTACCCATGCGGGGATTCGAACCCGGTTCTTCAGCGTGACGAGCGAACGCTTTCACCACTAGGCTACCCCACCGCCCCGATCAACTTCAGAATCAAATGAATTATTTCCGGCCCCCTAAATTTAGACACGGTTGTTGTGCTGCTGGTATTTTTTTCTGACGGGCAGCAAATGTCACACAAGATGGCATTAAATAACATATTGACATGGTAAATATCGTAAGTCCCCAAAATCAGAGAATAGACAACAGTTTTCATTGAAATTAAATTTCTCAGTATAACTGAGAATAGAAAAAGAGGTAATATATTCATCCACTAATCCACTTTTTAAATATTGCAAAAAAAAGAGAAGAAATATGCCTGCCTCTAAAATGCACTAGATAGACTCTGTCAGGGAAGCAGGTTAAAATTTTTTATCTGTTCTTACCCTGATGCTTGTTACCTACCCTGATGTTGTAACCTACCTTGACGCTTGACATAAGGGTATAAACCAAAGACAGGTCATCTCGGAGTATATATGGCACCTGAAGGGATATCCATGTTAACAGTCAGCACTATAAAAACTGAAGTCAGTAATAGAAAGGGCTGTGTATTCCCCCCGAAATTTAGTATTGCGATACACCCTTCTGTATTGCGATACGTATTGCGATATAGGAAAGACCTGACGTCTTCCCGTAGGCAGAAGGTAAACATAAACACGAGAGAGCGTAGTTCGTGACATCACTTCTGTAAACATATGGACTTTCCTATATTGTGAAAGAACAGTTATTGAGATCTGTCCACTTTGTAATATTCTTTTACCTTCAAATTGAATCACAGTATATGCGAGTAACCATTATGCATTGTATTGAATTAAATTTCAATAAACTCTATTTCACCTTACCTCACATAAACACATACTGTTAATAATCTCTGTATTTCAATTCTCATCTAATTGGTTTTCTCCAGATACTGAGGCTGTTCAATGCCAGTGTCATCATGGTGGGCCGGGAGATCAAGAGGTCACAGTATCTGCGGGGAACACAGGCGTTCAAGGCTCGAAACTGGTTCATCTTTACAGCCATGACATCCTCCATCCTTTCAGGACTTGCCATGATGTAACTGTCTTTAACTGCTTGCATTCTTCTGGGACTGTAGTTTATTTTTGTGACATTCGTAACTGTAGATGGCTGCCTGTGGGAGCATCCTTGGACTGCACATGCCTATAGTGTATTGCATTTTGAAGCATTTTATGAAGCTTGTTTTTCATCGTAAGAAGTCATTTTACTGTCTAACTCTTAATATAAAAAGGAAGTCCATATCTGACGTTATACATATTTACATATGCCTCTTGTTATATTTTTTGTTGTTTATGAGTGGGTATGATGTATGAAGGCAATTTCATTTGGTCCCAATGATTCCTGTTTTCAGATATTTTTCAATGATGACATGACTCGGCTGTACAACAAACTCGAGAAGAACAGGGAATGGAAACAGCAACGTCAGGATCGACTCCAAGAAATCTACCAGCGCCGTGCTGGTGAGTCAGCTGTTGACAAGAAGGAGTAAATCTGGGTATACCTGCAAGATATTTGTAATGTGTTGTGGACAAGAAGGAGTAGATCTGGGTATACGAGATATTTGTAATGTGTTGTGGACAAGATTTATGAACAGCAATAGTTTATTGTGAGTTAAAACTGGACCTACTTTGTGTATTGGAGACCATTGCAAGTGACTGGGTGTCGTCTGATCAAGTCGTAACTTTTGGATTACGCAGCTGGTTGAAACAACTTGACCACTAAAGGTGAATGGAAAAGAACTTTAACTTGAGATGTCTCTCTTCACCAAGTAACAGGACAGGATTGAGGAGGTCTGGTGAACTTAAGGTGAGATTGACTCTTCATGATGTTGGAAAAACTTTTCCATGTTTGATCAAGTCAGTGTGTGCAATAGAAACAAATGGCCAGGCTGCCATTGGTTGGTTTGCTGTTTAACGCAGCACTCAGCAATATTCCAGCTATATGGTGACAGTCTGTAAATAATCAAGTTTGGGTTGCTGAAAACCAAGGATCTTCACAGGTCCTTGGGTCACTCTCACTCACTCACTCACTCACTCACTCACCACTCACTCACTCACTCACTCACCTCACTCACTCATCACTCACTCACACTCACTCCTCACTCACTCACCACTCACCTCACTCACTCACTCACTCACCTCACTCACAACTCACTCACCACTCACTCACTCACTCACTCACTCACTCACTCACTCACTCACTCACTCACTCACTCACTCACTCACTCACTCACTCACTCACTCACTCACTCACTCACTCACTCACTCACTCACTCACTCACTCACTCACTCACTCACTCACTCACTCACTCACTCACTCACTCACTCACTCACTCACTCACTCACTCACTCACTCACTCACTCACTCACTCACTCACTCACTCACTCACTCAAATTGAAAGAAATGGCCAGGCTGTCATTGGAACCTGTAGGGCCAGACCAAACACTCCAGGCCCCCAAAGCAGGTTATTGTGACACAAAAAAATCAACACCTAACTTTGCTACAAGCAATAACTTGCTTCTGTGAGTGGAATTTTGGAAAGTACAATGACAAATTTATGGACCGCCTCCGTGGTGTAGTGGTAAGAGCGGCCAGCCCGAGAGCGGAAGATCGCGGGTTCGATCCCCAACCACATCATACCAAAAGATGTTAAAATATGGTACTTGTTGGTCCCTGCCTGGCGCCCGGCATTAATGGGTACAACAAGGACTGGTCAGCTTGGAGTCAGTATAATGTGTCTGAGTGGGGTATTCATGCTGCACTGCATTCTCAGTGAGCTAGCACTATAAAACCAGCTTCAGTCTGGGCTAGTACAAGCAGCCGCACATACACATGCACATGCATGCACGTCGTCATATGAGCGAAATATTCTCAAGCACGACGTTAAACCCAATATAACCTCACCTCACCTCACCTCACAAATTTATAGATAACAACTTCTTTGTTGTGTGAGTGATGGACAAGAAAGTTGTGATTATTGAACAAGCAATAAGCATGATAAGGGCCCATGTTAGATTGGGGGTCCGGGTCCAACACAAAATTGTCTGCCACTGGGCTTGTGGGCCAGCACATATTTCTAACACTGTTTCTAAGCAGCATGATTGAAGATCAGTATTTTGTCCTTATCCTGACTCCTGCTTATTATGCTTATCACCTTCTATGCAAATGGTAGTGGAAAACTTGAATCCCTTGTAGTTCCCTTGAAAAGGACGTAAAAGTTCACTCACCCCCGAGTTGCCTCCCTTTTCCTACCAAAACAGTCATGTGACTTGCCATGCTTGTCACTCTCACCTTCATCGCCCAAGCAGACGGTTGGGTGAGCACTGGAGTCCCGTATACGGCACCATATCCTTTTATGTTTAGATCCTTTATCCAAATTAAGCTGTGTATGGTTTTTGGCTATATTTAGCTTTCATCGTATGTCAAAATTTTGAGAAAATTATTCATATTTTGTGATATTTATTCATCATACTGTAGTTTGTTTACGTTTTAATGAAATCTTGCAGTGACTGCAGGTACTGGTTATCAAGGGCTGATCCTCACCCCTCATCCATGTTCTTCCAGCTTGCGATGCAGATACTGTATTAATTTATCAGATTTGCAATTTAATCGTTATTTGTCTTACATCTATAGACGTGCGATAGACCGGGTGAGGAAGTCATCTCAAGTCACTGGTGATAAATCTGGAGATAACGCCGGTAACCGAATGTTGTTAACTACTGCTGTAACTCAGGTGGTTTGCCGAGTACGTTACAGGGGCGTCTGTTGCTGGTCGGGACTTAGCCGGGTCTAAGAATAGGTCTGCTACTACTGAGTCGACTCCATCAGAGAGTAAGAGGAAGTTGTCCTCATCGTCTGCAGCGCAAAAGAAATCGTCTTCATCTAGAACCTGGTCGAAGTCAACTCGTTCCAGTAACACAACGCATCAAAGGTCCTTCAACAAAGATATTGTGCCTCCTGACGAAGCAGACGTATATGCTGACCCTCCGATACTGCTGCCTGAAGTACCAGTAACATCTACTAGAACGTTGACTCTGTCTACCTCAATGGCGGGACGATCATCCCCTGCAACCACAGCAGCTGTTCAGCTGTTTGAAGACCAGCCTCCAGCAACACAGACGTCTGTCAACAGAGACAACACCAGCGTAGCCTCATCACAGCTGCAAGTAGACGCAGATGAAGCCTCAGCGTTCTCAAACTCTTCGTCTACACCACATCAGTTCCAGCCTACAACGCAGAACTTCAACCCGGGCGACTTCATGAGGCAGTTTCCGGGTTCGATTCCCTACATGGGCACAATGTGTTAAGCCCATTTCTGGTGTCTCCCGCCGTGATATTGCTGGAATATTGCTAAAAGCGGCGTAAAACTAAACTCGGTCAGTCAGTCATGAGGCAGTTTACAACGCAGATGATGGCTGTGATGGAGCGTCGGTTCGCTGAAGAGACAGCTGCACATCAGAACCATACGATGACAGACAGCGTTCGAGGAAGCACAGGCCTTCGAGAACCTGTTCCTGAGACATCTACATCCTCATCCCACAAGTCTACGTCCGAAGACGACTTTCGCGAACGCTCAAGTTCGAGAAGATCTTCACATTCGGAAGACTCAGTCGTCATGGGGGAAGAGGAAGAAGGTTCCACGAGAGTGTACCCCTGAGACTACAAGAGACTATGAAGTCACGTCAGCGAACCCTCAACATTCGAGAACATCAAACGGAGAAATATCCTCTTCGAGATCCAGTCGCTCCACATCAGAATCCCGCAGCTCCCACAGACATAGATCTGCATCATCACGGGATGGAAACGACAGACGTTTGAAGGAAGGTTTGTGAAAGGAAGGTTTGCGGAAGGAAAGTTCGTGAAAGGAAGGTTCGCGAAGGCACAGTTCGGCGGACCCGGAACTATCTGAGGAAGAGGGCGACTACGTCTTCTCGGAAGCAGCGGTCACATCTTGGATTGCAAACGGCTTGGACTTGGCATCCCCCTCCAAGGAATCGAATGCAGCGTTCACATACAAGATGCTGAAGAATGACTTCGACACCCTCACGATTCCACCGATTGAACCGATCTCCAAGGTGTCTGCAAACCTCCGTACAGCGTTCAAGAAAGCAACCCGGTACCAGAATCAACATGTACCTACGTTCAACGCTAGGAAGTTCACTCTGCATCTCATGGACCCCTTCATGAGACCACCGGACCTGGATGACAACTTAAAGTTTATCAACGACTCCCGTAACAAGTCTTATAAGGTGGAAGACAAGAAGATTGCTCAACTCGACACCACACCTAGAAGAACATTCTTCGGCCTGGCGAGATCTAGAGCGATCAACGAGACGTTGATATTCAGATTCCAGAACCCCAAGACTGAAGAGGATAGAATGATCCTATCAGCACTGTTAACTCTGTTAAGGACCAGCACTTCATGTTTGATCACCTGGCGGTCACGTAGTCACGTAGTTTCACCCTACTACGAAGACAAGGTCTACTATCGACATGTTCCTGGAGTGACAGGTTCACCCAACCTCTAGTAAGAGCTCCTTGGGCGTCGCCTAGTATCTTCAGCGGGGAGATCGACGAAGTTGCCAAGGAAGTCACACAATTCCAGCGAAGTCATGATGATCAAGTCCATCGACACGTTGGCCAATGTCATTTGTCAAATGTCACAGAGGCACAGCAACAAGTCAGAGTACAGAAGGCGAAGGGGACTAAATACTCCAGCTTCAGAGGCGGGAAGAGTTCCTTTCGTCCTTTTGAGGTTTCAGGGGATCAAGAATTTGAAGATGGGGTTCGGAACGACTGGACGTTTCCACCCCAGCCGTTCCAGTACAACCGTTGACAGTGGGTAGATGGAAGACCAGCAGAAGAAATTCAGAGAACCAGCCTGGGATCTGAACATAGTTCTACGACATCTCACGAGTGATGTCTACGAACCACTAGAGTAGACTACCTTCGAGCTACTCACACAGAAAACTCTGTTCCTCCTCACCCTAGCCAAGGCAGCTCGAATGTCAGAGATACATGTGCTGGACTTCGGACGAACTAGATTCGACACGAGAGACCGTGCTGCAGTACATCTAAGACTTAGATGGGACTTCATTGCAAAGAATCAGTTACCTGGCCAACCAGACAGACAGTTCCACGTCCCAGCGCTATCTACGATCCTCGGACCAGAGGACACCCAGGACTTATCCTTGTGTCCTGTCAGAGCCCTGAAGATATATCTTCAAAAGACTTAAACAAGGAGAAGAAAATTCAGACATCTGTAGAAGTCTCAAGAACGACAATATCATTTTGGATGAGAGCCGTTATACTGAGGGCCTACAAAGCAGCAGGACTAGAACCTCCAAGAGCTTCCAACCCACACAAAGTCAGAGCACTGGCGTCTACACTAGCTCTGCATGGAAATTGCTCTATATCATCAATTATGGAGGGCTGCTTTTGGAAGTCGGATACAGTGTTTGCCAACCAACCTCCGAGACATAGCCACAGAAGACGTCTCCGGCATTCACCAGTTTGGGCCTCTCATTGTAGCACAACAACTAACGGTTCCACAAAGGCGCTGAGTTGGAAATCTCACCCTTTATCACGTTGACTTGTTGATAACTTTTACTAAGGAAAAGTATTAGTTTGAAAGTCCATGCACACAGTCTAGGCCAGACTAGCATGAGTGATTAAGACTCTGTACGGGTAAAGATCTTACCTGTATGTTAAGGGGTCACAACTCATTTATGATCTTATCATAATCTATGGGTTGTTATAGATAACTAGTAAGAAGAAGATACCAGTATATCTTAAGCCACATGAATCTACAAGATTCAACTTGTCTGAGAAAGAAGTAAGACAAGATGGTGGTCCCCCGAGTTATAACCGGAGTTGGAAGAATAGGATCTAGGAAATGCCGTTACACAGTTCCCATTGGGGGGATACAGGACGTATCTAAGGACAGCTGTTGAATCCACAAAGTGGCTTGACCCACCACCAATCTGTAGGATTCTATAAGCAAAGATCATGAGTCAGGATAAGGAAAAATATGTAACTTTTTAAGTAAAATTGATATTTTATACTTATCCTGACTCATGAGGTCAAGCCCTCCTAACCTCCCCACTGGAAACACTTCGGATTTCACAGTAGATCCAGGTGCATGGGCAGAAAAATCAGGAGAGAGTGACAAGTAAGGCTGGTCACATAACTGTTTGCTCGGGAGCGAGGGAGGTAACTTGTGGGTGAGTGTACTTTTACGTCCGCTTTAGGGAACTACAAAGGATTCAAGTGTTCCACTACCATTCGCATAGATAAGATAAGCAAAGATCATGAGTCAGGATAAGTATAAAATATCAATTTTACTTAAACAATCACATTTTCTGAATCACCTGAATGCAAAGTATCTGTTATGAAGCATGTCCAGTCCCCTCCAGCATCAATAGCTGACATACATGGAATTGTTGTGGAGTTACATGAGTCTTTGAACAGACTTGTATCATGTAGAACATAGACGTTTCTGTGGTAGATGTGATATATCACTGCTATGTATGATGAGTTACTGTAGCTGATAGTCATGTTTATTTGTGCAATGTACATTTGGTGGACTAGTTTGGACATTGTTTTGTTCTCACAGAAATATCTGACAAGATGGAGAAGACGAAGGAAGAAAGACAGTCAGGAAGCTCTGTGGAGGAGGATGGAGGCAGTGCAGACTCTGCCGCTTCAGCGAAATCAGTTGGCGTGAAGAAGAGCAAGTTGTCCCTCCAGAAGCAGAATATGGAAGACAAACTGACGAGGCTGACTACTTCTGGAGCCGATCTGGATGAAACGGGAGAATTTAAGGATGGACACATGTTCAGTTTCTGCCGGAAACAAACCTGGGCAACCTCAAAGGGCAAACACAGCGAGGAGGCTGTGAAGGGCAAGGACAGCAGACGTGAAGGTGTGGTTGTTGCCAGAAAGAAAAAGACAGTTCAATCAAAAACAGAAAATATGATTGAGAAAGGACCTGAAGGTGATGAAGATAAAGACAGGAGTGTGACCGTCAAGGACGTTGATGGAAGACAGCGGTCAGCGAGGTCAGGGAAACTGGGTGACACTGATAGGCCGAGTAACAAGACTCGGGCAAGAGGAGTGGTCAGTTCTGGGGCAGTGCCCAATATACGATGTTGTCCAACATGTAAACACATGATGGCCGATGAGGTTTTCAAAGACCACATCAAGGAGTGTCTGCAGCAATTCCACATCGCCTCTAAAGACAGAAGACGGAAAGGTAACCATAGTAACCTACTGATGGGTGTAAGTACTCAGAGGAAGATATAGTATATGTGTAGAGATGTCGGTGAGTGACTCACTGTAATGAGTTCAACTTCACACAACATCTCTTCCATGTCACATTCAGGCTGTCTGGTTGGCTTGTTCTGGAAATGGGAAAGGTATGATATGTTATGGAAGACGTATCTGTACCGAAACATCATAATATACACTGATATAATAAAGAAGCTGTCATCCATAAGATATAATACCTTTCTTATTATTCATTTATTTGTAAAATGCCAGTCAAACAGATTGTTCTTGGGGGAAAGTCCACAATGAAGTAAGGTGATCTTCTTTACATTAGGTTACGGTTCTCTTGATTTTATCTAGTTGAGGTGATGTTTGCCGAAATGGAAGAGAAGATTGAGAGGCGCCGCAACCGTTTTTTAGAGAAGGGAAATGGTGGCGATGTGGTGATGGATGACGATTACTTCATGTGTCAGATCTGTCAGAAGGATCTGTCACACATGAACTCCCAGCGACGGACACAGCACATGAACCGCTGTATGGACGAGGTGAGTTGATGACAGTCAAATGTCAGTTAACTCCTGTGTTAAGTGGTGTCTAGGTACCCTGTTCAGTGTCAGTTAACTCCTGTGTTGAGTGGTATCTAGGTACCCCGTTCAGTGTCAGTTAACTCCTTTGTTAAGTGGTATCTAGGTGCCCTGTTCAGTGTCAGTTAACTCCTTTGTTAAGTGGTATCTAGGTACCCCGTTCAGTGTCAGTTAACTCCTTTGTTAAGTGGTATCTAGGTGCCCCGTTCAGTGTCAGTTAACTCCTTTGTTAAGTGGTATCTAGGTACCCTGTTCAGTGTCAGTTAACTCCTGTGTTAAGTGGTATCTAGGTACCCTGTTCAGTGTCAGTTAACTCCTTTGTTGAGTGGTATCTAGGTACCCCGTTCAGTGTCAATTAACTCCTGTGTTGAGTGGTATCTAGGTACCCTGTTCAGTGTCAGTAAACTCCTTTGTTAAGTGGTATCTAGGTACCCCGTTCAGTGTCAGTTAACTCCTGTGTTGAGTGGTATCTAGGTACCCTGTTCAGTGTCAGTTAACTCCTGTGTTGAGTGGTATCTAGGTACCCCGTTCAGTGTCAGTTAACTCCTTTGTTAAGTGGTATCTAGGTACCCCGTTCAGTGTCAGTTAACTCCTGTGTTGAGTGGTATCTAGGTACCCTGTTCAGTGTCAGTTAACTCCTGTGTTGAGTGGTATCTAGGTACCCTGTTCAGTGTCAGTTAACTCCTGTGTTGAGTGGTATCTAGGTGCCCCGTTCAGTGTCAGTTAACTCCTTTGTTGAGTGGTATCTAGGTACCCTGTTCAGTGTCAGTTAACTCCTGTGTTGAGTGGTATCTAGGTACCCCGTTCCGTGTCAGTTAACTCCTGTGTTAAGTGGTGTCTAGGTACCCTGTTCAGTGTCAGTTAACTCCTGTGTTGAGTGGTATCTAGGTACCCTGTTCAGTGTCAGTTAACTCCTGTGTTGAGTGGTATCTAGGTACCCTGTTCAGTGTCAGTTAACTCCTTTGTTAAGTGGTATCTAGGTACCTTGTTAAGTGTCAGTTAACTCCTGTGTTGAGTGGTATCTAGGTACCCCGTTCAGTGTCAGTTAACTCCTTTGTTAAGTGGTATCTAGGTACCTTTTTCAGTGTCAGTTAACTCCTGTGTTAAGTGGTGTCTAGGTACCCTGTTCAGTGTCAGTTAACTCCTTTGTTAAGTGGTATCTAGGTACCCTGTTCAGTGTCAGTTAACTCCTGTGTTAAGTGGTGTCTAGGTACCCTGTTCAGTGTCAGTTAACTCCTTTGTTGAGTGGTATCTAGGTACCCTGTTCAGTGTCAGTTAACTCCTTTGTTGAGTGGTATCTAGGTACCCCGTTCAGTGTCAGTTAACTCCTTTGCTGAGTGGTATCTAGGTACCCTGTTCAGTGTCAGTTAACTCCTTTGTTGAGTGGTATCTAGGTACCCTGTTCAGTGTCAGTTAACTCCTTTGTTGAGTGGTATCTAGGTACCCTGTTCAGTGTCAGTTAACTCCTGTGTTAAGTGGTGTCTAGGTGCCCTGTTCAGTGTCAGTTAACTCCTTTGTTGAGTGGTATCTAGGTACCTTGTTCAGTGTCAGTTAACTCCTTTGTTGAGTGGTATCTAGGTACCTTGTTCAGTGTCAGTTAACTCCTTTGTTGAGTGGTATCTAGGTACCCTGTTCAGTGTCAGTTAACTCCTTTGTTGAGTGGTATCTAGGTGCCCTGGTCAGTGTCAGTTAACTCCTTTGTTAAGTGGTATCTAGGTACCTTGTTAAGTGTCAGTTAACTCCTTTCTTGAGTGGTATCTAGGTGCCTTGGTCAGTGTCAGTTAACTCCTTTGTTAAGTGGTATCTAGGTACCTTGTTAAGTGTCAGTTAACTCCTGTGTTGAGTGGTGTCTAGGTACCCTGTTCAGTGTCAGTTAACTCCTGTGTTGAGTGGTATCTAGGTACCCTGTTCAGTGTCAGTTAACTCCTTTGTTAAGTGGTATCTAGGTACCCTGTTCAGTGTCAGTTAACTCCTTTGTTGAGTGGTATCTAGGTACCCTGTTCAGTGTCAGTTAACTCCTTTGTTAAGTGGTATCTAGGTACCCTGTTCAGTGTCAGTTAACTCCTTTGTTGAGTGGTATCTAGGTACCCTGTTCAGTGTCAGTTAACTCCTGTGTTAAGTGGTATCTAGGTACCCTGTTCAGTGTCAGTTAACTCCTGTGTTGAGTGGTATCTAGGTACCCTGTTCATTGTCAGTTAACTCCTGTGTTAAGTGGTATCTAGGTACCCTGTTCAGTGTCAGTTAACTCCTGTGTTGAGTGGTATCTAGGTACCCTGTTCAGTGTCAGTTAACTCCTGTGTTGAGTGGTATCTAGGTACCCTGTTCAGTGTCAGTTAACTCCTGTGTTGAGTGGTATCTAGGTACCCTGTTCAGTGTCAGTTAACTCCTTTGTTAAGTGGTATCTAGGCACCCTGTTCAGTGTCAGTTAACTCCTGTGTTGAGTGGTATCTAGGTACCCCATTCAGTGTCAGTTAACTCCTTTGTTAAGTGGTATCTAGGTACCTTGTTCAGTGTCAGTTAACTCCTGTGTTAAGTGGTGTCTAGGTACCCTGTTCAGTGTCAGTTAACTCCTTTGTTAAGTGGTATCTAGGTACCCTGTTCAGTGTCAGTTAACTCCTGTGTTAAGTGGTGTCTAGGTACCCTGTTCAGTGTCAGTTAACTCCTTTGTTAAGTGGTATCTAGGTACCTTGTTCAGTGTCAGTTAACTCCTTTGTTAAGTGGTATCTAGGTACCCTGTTCAGTGTCAGTTAACTCCTGTGTTTAGTAGTGTCTAGGTAACCTGTTCAGCTGCCCGTGTGTATTTGTAGGCTCTGATGAAGGACAACAAACTGCAGGAGAAGCCAGAGTCTGGGGAGTGTGCTCAGCTGATAATCTTAGACTGCCCAATGTGTGGAAAACCACTGAAGACAGAATCTGTGAGTTAACTGAATACAGGCAATCCGTGACAACCAGCGATGCTTGAACTCTGATTATACCTCATGCTGTCTGTGTCATTCAGGGATGTTTAGACACTGTCTGTGACAACCAACGATGCTTGAACACTGTGTCAGTGTGCTATGTTTGAAAATGTATTAAAACCCTTCCAAGAATTGGGAAATTTCACTGAAATCCGCAATAACATGTACTTCTAGCTTAAACCTTTTACATAAGATTCTTTTCTTTCAGGCAGCAAACATGTCTCATGGAAAACAAATCTAGAGATCCTACATTCTGTCCACTCCTTTTTAACTCATTAACAGGCATATCAGATAGGTGTTGATAGGGGAACACTACACATTACACGTATTAGCTGTCGCCATACTTCTGTATTCCTGTTTTGATATGCAGTGGGAAACCACTACCGGGTTATCTACATATATTTCCTGACGTTAATAATAATAATAAATAATGTGTCCATATATAGCGCCAAACTCCACACTAGGTATGCTCATAGCGCTAACAATCAAGGCACAGCTCATTATTACCCCGGATAACCCAGGCTGCCTGTTAGGCGCGCTAGAAGGTTATAGTCATATGACTTTTATCCACCGGGTACCCATTTTCCTGCTTGGGTGAACATAGACGATTTGGAACAAACTAACTTGCCTAAGGTGAGACCACATGTGTCACATGTGGTTCGTTGTGGGGCAGGACTCAAGTCCTAGAAACTCTCAGGAGTCAAGCTGCCAAACACGGTCACCCATCCAAGGACTCTCTGAGCTCGACGCTGCTTATCTTCAATGATTTGTGACCTGAGCTTTGAGCACAGGACCACGCGCCACCTCCACGTTACACTCTGTATTATATGTTATGTCATATGGGAGCAGTGTTCACATAAGTTGTGACAGCTTGTTCACCAATCATGGAGTTCCGATAATTACGACTGGTTAATTGATCTTCCTTTTTGCTTCAATGTGAATGATGGCCATTGAGGTGTGTGTTTTACTGATTAGAGTCGGAAGGTGCACCTGAAGCAGTGTGCGCTCGGATGCTGAACGTGACGACAGAGATGATGTTGCAGGCCGTCAAGGCTCAGGAGGAAGAGCACAAGGTGAAGATGTCCACTGGGATTGCTCCACCGCCGAGCAGGTAAATATATACATGGCTGTACAGACAGCACTTATTGGCAACATTCAGACATGGCTGTACAGACAGCACTTAATGGCAACATTCAGACATGGCTGTACAGACAGCACTTAATGGCAACATTCACACATGGCTGTACAGACAGCACTTAATCACAACACTCAAATATGGCTGTACAGACAGCACTTAATGTCAACATTCAGACATGGCTGCACAGACAGCTTTTAATGGCAACTCTCAAACATGCCTGTACAGACAACACTTAATGGCAACTCTCAAACATGCCTGTACAGACAACACTTAATGGCAACTCTCAAACATGCCTGTACAGACAACACTTAATGGCAACATTCAGACATGGCTGTACAGACAGTTCTTAGTGGCAACAGTACAGACCTTGTTAACCTTTGACATCAGCTCGGAACTCGACATTCCCCGGTGTGAATTGTTATCCTTCTGTTTTTGTCCAGGGAAGTTTCAAAAAAGAAGTCAGCTGCTGGAACCCAAGGGAAGAAACAGACAAAGAAGAAAGCGAAAGGGTAAGTTACTGCTGTAGGCAGCTGTACAAGACTTACACACTCAGTCACGTGTACACATGAGTTAAGCACACGATTTCAGTACTAAGGCACACAATCACAGGAAGTGTTGAAGCCTCAGAGATTCCAAGCATGACTGACCTGACAGAACACAGGCACCTGAGTCTGCAACAGAATTAGTCCTTAAAGTCAACTAAGGACCTGTATCTGTTGTTCTTTAGGCCCATGGACGAGGATACACAGCTTGCCATGGCTCTGTCGTCCTCACTTGCTGATGAGGAGACGAAGAAGGAACAGGCTCTGATTGGTCAATTAAATCTACGAGGAATTGGCAACATAGCACAGGGAAAAGACAAAGAGGCCAAGAAGACCAGAAAAAAGAAAAAGTAAGACAGAAAAGTAATTACACGTAGTACCTCAGAATCACTGTATGCCATTGTCAGCCATTCAGTATTCAGTTAGAAATCATCTACATGTTCAGTGACCATGTGTTGTACCACCATCATCAAATCAACAAAGCATCAACATTTGGGAAGCAAATTTTTCATCTTTTCTGACCTTGTCTGTCCCTTCCCTGTTAGAACTTATATAGAATGTGTTATGCCCCATGATGATTGTGTTTGTTGCAGCCAGCAGGGGGCGGGGCGCCACCACCACTGTTACTTCAGTTGTCCAAGACGGAGGCACAGCAGAGAATAGCGAACAAAGTGACACAAATAATTGTGCCCCAGGTAAGAATAGTTCAGCTAATTGTGCCCCAGGGAACAATGACACAGCTAATTGTGCCCCAATTAAGCATAACACAGCTGTGTCCCAGGTAACAATGACACAGCTAACTGTGCCCCTGGTAACAGGTGTTTCTACTGTCCAAGTACCTTTTTGTAAGAGGCCACTAACACACCTGGGATAGTAGTCAGATTTGATTGATGCATGCAGATTTGATTGATGCATGCATCTCATCTGGTGTGGTCTCAGCAATACTTTCCTCTTCTTTCACTACGTTGTACTTCAGGTGTCTGTTGGTGAACCTTGCTCAACGCCTCCCATAGTTGACTCAAGATTGACGGACCTACCTGGGACAAAGGTGTTTGTGGTTGAACAAGAGAACAGTCAGGTGAGACAGACTTTATACTTTCAGCTTTACATTGGGCTACAATTAGACATGCACACCTTTATTCAACCACCTCTGTAAAATTCATTAAACAACATTCAGTTGCTGTCTATAATATTTCCAACTTTATTGTTAAACAACATTCACACACCTCACTCCAGTCAGTCAGTACTTTGTGGCGGAGGACGTCCCTGCACGCCGGTGATGGTCAAGATGTCCGGTCCCTGTACTACACCGAGGCCCTGATGCCACCTGTGCGCATGTCTGACGTCGCGGTGGGCAGCAAGTTGAAGCATGTGTCACAGATCCCAGGCCGGAGGAAATCCGAGGAGCTGGAACAGAACTGCCAGGTGTGAAAACTTGACCATTAAACTGTTCCCCTGACGAGTTCATGGAAAGTAGCCCATTCTCACCCTGGAACGTTCCAGGTACAGGGAAGTCAGCCATTATAGCTGTAGCTATGGGACAGAGCTGTCTCCTACAAAGGCAGTAGCCATTTAAATACGTCCATGGTGCATCGTCAGTTATTTTACTTCTTTGTAACTTACAGTTAAACTGTTCATGTTCCTGATATAACCTAGATTGTCTAGTTTGTCAGTGGCTGTAGTCAGTTGCTCCTGTCAAATAGGTGACTTGTTGCCATGGTGATTACAGGAAGGCATGGTGATGAGCCAGAGTTCAGAGGATGTGGCATCAACGCCTACTGCGATGTTGCTGGCAGAACTTGCCGCCGAGGCAGGTGACAGCAGCTGTGATGTGAAGACCGGTGCTGATGACAACACCGTTGAAGTTCCAGATGAGGGTGCTGCTGTTACCCCCGACGACCTGAGAGAAGCCAGTGGATTCTGTCTGGAGGAGCCAGTTCACATAAACGTTAGTTTCCATGCTGTACTAATCTTATGGCCTACACATCAACAGACCTGCATCTCTTCAGGGTTTTTGCTGGCATGGCATGATAATGTCCAGCTCCCTCAAATCTTTGTCAATCAATACATGTATTAACTCCTGAGGATGTATATGTTGAGGACAAAATGCAGTCTGCTTTTTTCTCTTGTAAGAATAGTTGAAATATTAGTTTGACATGACCAACATGATGGTAATGTTGACACAGGGATGTGTCTGTTGTAGAAGGTGATGTCAGATGAGGCCATGTCTGCTCTACAGAGCCACTACCTGAGTCTGGTGGATCAGGAACAGTCCTCTGATGTTGCCATAGAAACCAAAGACCAGAATGTTGTACATGCCCATCAACTCATTCTGTCAGTCAGGTGTCCCCAACTGTTGAAGGTGGGTCAAGTTGTGTTGTAAGTGGGTCATGATCGTGGGTCAGGTCGGGGTGAAGGTGTGTCAGATCGGGGTGAAGGTGTGTCGGGGTCGGGGTGAAGGTGTGTCAGGTTAGGGTGAAGGTGTGTCAGGTCGGGGTGAAGGTGTGTCAGGTTAGGGTTAAGGTGTTTCAGGTCGTGGTGAAGGTGTGTCAGGTTAGGGTGAAGGTGTGTCCGGTCGGGGTGAAGGTGTGTCAGGTCGGGTGAAGGTGGGTCAGGTTAGGGTGAAGGTGGGTCAGGTCGGGGTGAAGATGGGGCAGGTCGGGGTGAAGGTGTGTCAGGTCAGGGTGAAGGTGTGTCAGGTCAGGGTGAAGGTGTGTCAGGTCGGGGTGAAGGTGTGTCAGGTCGGGGTGAAAGTGTGTCAGGTCGGGGTTAGGGTGAAGGTGTGTCAGGTCGGGGTGAAGGTGTGTCAGATCGGGATGAAGGTGTGTCAGGTCGGGTGAAGGTGGGTCAGGTTAGGGTGAAGGTGGGTCAGGTCGGGGTGAAGGTGGGTCAGGTGAAGGTGGGTCAGGTCGGGGTGAAGGTGTGTCAGGTTAGGGTTAAGGTGTGTCAGGTCGGTATGAAGGTGTGTCAGGTTAGGGTGAAGGTGTGTCAGGTCAGGGTGAAGGTGTGTCAGGTTGGGATGAAGGTGTGTCAGGTCAGGGTGAAGGTGTGTCAGGTCGGGGTGAAGGTGTGTCAGGTTGGGGTGAAAGTGAGTCAGGTCGTGGTTAGGGTGAAGGTGTGTCAGGTCGGGGAGAAGGTGTGTCAGATCGGGATGAAGGTGTGTCAGGTCGGGTGAAGGTGGGTCAGGTTAGGGTGAAGGTGTGTCAGGTCGGGGTGAAGATGGGTCAGGTTGGGGTGAAGGTGGGTCAGGTCAGGGTGAAGGTGTGTCAAGTCGGGGTGAAGGTGTGGCAGGTTAGGGTGAAGGTGTGTCAGGTCGGGGTGAAGGTGTGTCAGGTGGGGATGAAGGTGTGTCAGGTCGGGTGAAGGTGGGTCAGGTTAGGGTGAAGGTGGGTCAGGTCGGGGTGAAGGTGTGTCAAGTCGGGGTGAAGGTGTGTCGGGTTGTGGTGAAAGTGTGTCACGTCGGGGTCGGGGTGAAGGTGGGTCAGGTCGGGGTGAAGGTGTGTCAGGTCGGGGTGAAGGTGTGTCAGGTCGGGGTCGGGGTGAAGGTGTGTTGGTTTGGGGTGAAGGTGTGTCGGTTTGGGGTGAAGGTGTGTCAGGTCGGGGTGAAGGTGGGTCAGGTCGGGATGAAGGTGTGTGTTGGTCTAATCTGTGTGTCCATGCAAGCAATGTTCAGAACACTGCTAAAGTTCTGCTCCCGTTTCAGTTGACAAGGCGAGGGGTGGTCCACCTCCTGAACTCCTCTCGTGATGCGGTGCTCGCAGTGATTAAGTTTGTGTATGGTGGTGCCATCTGTCTGCAGCCCAGTCTCATCACAGAGGTCAAAGCCCTGGCTCAGCAGTAAGGAGACTTTGTCAAGAACTTGAAGCATTCAGTACAATACGGTCCAAGAAATAGGGAGGAAAAATTTGGCTAGATTTGTAAATAGTTGCACAAATAGTGTTGCTACATTGCTTCCACAAGAAACAGGATGTGTTTATCCTACAATGCTTAGGGTGGTGTTCAGGAGGGAAATGTATTTGTGCAAATCCATATATTTTTTTCAACAAGAATGACCCCAACCTAGAAGGTAAAAATTGGTTTAGGGAGATGTCAGGTATTGTTCAAAACAATTTAAGTGAGCTTTGACGAGTACATAGCCTTCTCCTTGCAGGCTCTGTGTGACAGATCTCGCTGCCTACTGTGAAACAGCAAGTCAGGAGTTTCAGCAGACAGACACACAGACAAACATGCAGACAGACCAACATGCAGACATTCAGACAGACATCCAGACAAAAGAGACGGACAGCCGGGAATCAAGGTCATCACACAGGCTTACCAGCATTGATGATATCTGCCAGGAGATGTTCAGTGACTCTGACTTTGACCTTGACCCTCAAGGTGAGAAGGGAGCTTGTAAGGAAGGGGGGGGGAGAGTGACGAGGATGAGTGGAGGGAGGTGTATTGTTCCCAGCGGCAGCAGCTACATCGGAGGCAGAGTTTGGGAGATGTAGTAGTCGAAGATGATATCAGGGAAGTAGGAGACATTGGTCGACACGAAGGAGAACTTGACACAGTGGAATATGTTGAAGAGAAGGTTGCAATTGGAGGTTCCATACAGAGACCAGCCCCAAACGATATACCTTCACATGGCTGCACTGAGAGAGAACCAGTGCGAAAAGCCCTCCATGACACCTCCACACAGTGGTGAAGAGGAGTTGTTCAGTGAGGAGGAAGAAGCTGGAATGGATTTATTGTTAGAGAGTTCTGGCTTGGATAAATATGACCGTGATACAAATGTCCGAGATAACTATGACCCCGATGTAGCTGACCCCGTGACAGGTGTCACACCCATCAGACATGACAGGACATGTGACCAAGGAAGCAAACACTCACATCCTGGGTTTGAAACTCACAAAGCTAATGAAAGACGCTCACATGGATCTGATGATTTTGAAATCATCCAAAGTGGGTCCAGCTCCTCTGTGGAGGACAGTGGTGATGGAGGCCTCGGAACCAGGGAAGAAGCAAAGTCGAGACCTGTAGCTGTGTCACCAGTCAGGTCTTCAGACCAGACAGAACCCAGTCAGAAGGCAGTGAAGAGGAAGCGAGTACTGTCAGACCAGGATGTGCTGGCATCTCCCGTGCTGGGCAGGAAGATCAGTTCATGCAGCTTGACACCTAGGGCCAAGCAGTCCCATAAGAGACTGAAAATGGTGACACCCAATAGAGATAGATCAAGTCCAGGTCACAAACAGATGGACAGGTCATCAAACAAAGGCGCATCAAGTCCAACTGTCACTAAAGTCCTGTCAGATAAATACATGAAGATGTCCACCCCTCTGGACCGTTCTGGTCCAAGCCACTCTGTAGTGGAGCAGGATTCTCTGTACATCACCCCAATTCCCAAACAGAGACAACGGTCCACGTTCATGTTGGTGACCCCTGCACTGGCCAATCAGAGCCAAGATTTATCCATGGATGGTGACTTTGTGGCAACACCTGTCGGCAGGATAGTTTCTAACGAATCTGGACAGGAGGTTCTAGTTAATCTTGATGGGTCTTTAATGAAGCAGGCAGATTCTGGCAAAAGTGAATCTGAGCATCAAACAGAGGATTGTCCTAGAACTGCCTGCTCTGATGTAGAGAATGAAAAGAGTGTTATGGGCAGATCTGTAGATGCATCGACTGTGGCACTACCTGGGACAGATGCAGAGTCAAGATCTGGCCGGATTCCACACACAAAGTCATCACATGGGAAGCCCTGTTCCAAATCCTCATTGGGTCACAGCTCTGCATCACCTGACAGGAAGTCAGGCTCCTCTGATTCTGACCTTGAGATAGTGGGAGACAACTTCCAACTGTTGTCACAGGTATCTGTCTCCCCCAAGTTTCCCAACAAGTTTAGCTTTAAGAAGATTTCCTCCCATACCAGAAAGTTGAGTCGGAAGAGAAGGCCAAGTCTTGATCCTCATCACCATGGAGATAGTGGAGAAGGGACGACCCTGGAGGCAGACGTTCATAACAGACAGCAAGAAGACACAAATGTAGCGGTTGGCATGGTGACAGAGAGAGGTGATGCTGCAGAGAAAGCACAGAAGAACTGCTCTCCACCTAACACAGGTAGGTTGTTGAGATGCTTCAGCCACTGATGTGTTTCCCTCATCTCACCTACCCTCATTGCACCTACCTTCATCTCACCTACCCTCAAACCTACCCTCACACTAACCCTCATCACACCTACCCTTACACCTACCTTCATCACACCTACCCTCATCTCACCTACCCTTACACCTACCTTCATCACACCTACCTTCATCACACCTACCCTCATCACACCTACCCTCACCCTTACCCTCATCACAGCTACCCTCATCACACCTACCCTTACACCAACCCTCATCTCACCTACCCTTACACCTACCTTTACACCTACCTTCATCACACCTACCTTCATCTTATCTACCCAGACACTTACTCTCATCACACTTACCCTCATCACACCTACCCTCATCACACCTACCTTCATCACACCTACCCTCACCCTTACCTTCATCACAGCTACCCTCATCACACCTACCCTCACCCTTATCTTCATCACACCTACCCTCATCACACCTACCCTAACACCTACCTTCATCTCACCTACCCAGACACTTACTCTCATCACACTTACCCCCCATCACACCTACCCTCATCACACCTACCCTCATCACACCTACCCTCACACTTACTCCTTCATCACAGCTACCTCATCACACCTACCCCTCATCCTACTCTTCATCACACCTACCCCCTCATCTCACCTACCTTACACTCTACCATCACACACCCTACTCTTCATCCCACCTACTCCAGATACACTTTACTCTCTACCGCTGCACCCTACTCCTCATCACACCTGCACCTCACCCTTACCTCACTCAAAGCACCCCACCCTCTATCACACTCCACCTCACCCTACTCCCTCATCACACTTTGCCCTCATCACGCTTTTAATTTCATCACACCTACCCTCTATCACACCTACTCTCATCACACCTACCTTCTCATCACACACTCTTACCCCTCACAGACCTACAGTTCTTACACGTGCTCTTCATCACAGCACCTTTCCCCTCACACCTACCTTCACATCAAGCACCTACCCTCATCACACCTTACCCTTTACACCTGCCTTCATCACACCTCTCCCTCACACCTACCCTCATCACACCTACCCTCATCACACACCTACCCTTACACCTACATTCATCACACCTACCTTCATAACACCTACCTTTTCTAACACCAACCTCCTCATCACACCTCCCTTCACCACACCTACCTCATCACCTCCTTACCCTCATCACACCTACCCCTCATCTCACCTACCCTCATCACACCTTACCCTCACACTCATCTACTCTCATCTCACCTACCTCTTACACCTATATTCATCACACCTACCTTCATCACACACCCACTCTTTCTCTCACACCTACCCTCATCACACCTCCTTTCTACACCACACCTACCCTCATCACCCTTACCCTCATCACACTAACCCCCCATCCCACCTACCCTCATCACACCTATATTCATCATCACACCTACCTTCTTAACTCCTTCCTTTTTCTTGTTCACACCTACCCCTACACTCCCCTCCACACCTTATCGCACCTTACACCTCCTTCATCACACCCCACCTTCTCACCACCCTACCTCATCACACCCTGCCCTTACACCTGCCTTCATCACACCTTCCCTTTCATCACACCTACCCCTCATCACACCACTCCTTACACTTCATCTCACCTACACCCTACTCCTTACACCTCCCTTCATCACACCAACCTCATCACACCTTACCCTTACACCTGCCTTCATCATCACACCCACCCTTCATATAACACCTTCCCCCATACACCTACCTTTCACTGCCACATCCCACCCCTTATCACACCCCTACCTTCATCACACCTACCTCATCACACCTACCCTTACACCTGCCTTCATCACACCTACCTTCATCACACCTACCCTTACACCTACCTTCATCACACCCACCCTTATCACACATACCTTCATCACACCTACCCTCACACCCACCCTCATCTGACCTACCCTCACACCTACCTCCACCACACCTCCCCTCATCTGACCTCTCTTCTCATTGGTCATTATTGATTATTTACAGACTGCTATTAAATAGTTGGAATGCTGATTCTTACCTTCATCACAACAAATACCTTCATCAACATGCTACATCTCTATCACACCTACCTCATCAGACCTACCCTTACATCTGCCTTCATCACACCTTTCCTCTCACACCTACCTGTCTCATCACACACTACCCCTCATCACCCTGCCTACATCACCTGCCTCTCATCACACCTCTTCCATCACACCCACCTCATCACACCTCACCCTCATCACACTCTACCCTCAATGTCTACATCACAATCACACCTACACTTCATAACACCAACCTTTCTACACCTACCCTCATCACACCTCCCTTCTCACCACACCTACCCTATCACCCTTACCCTTCATCACACCTTTCCACTCATCTCACCTACCCTCATCACACCTACCCTCACACTTACCCTCATCACACCTTACCCTTACACCGTCCCTCTATAGTCATCACTACAATGCCTTCATCACACCCCACTTTCCTCTACACCTACCCCTCATCACACCTCCCTTCACCACACCTCTTACACCCTCATCACCCTACCCCTCATCACACCCTACCCTCCTCATCTCACCTACCCTCATCACAATGTCCCTCACACCCTACTCCTCATCACACCCTACCCTTACACCTACATTCATCCCACCTACCTTTCACCACACCTACCCTCATCACTCCCATACCCTCATCACACTAACCCTCATCCCACCTACCTCATCATCACACCTACACTCATCACACCACTGCCTTCTTAACACACCTACCTGTTCTACACCTATCCTCACACCTCTCATCACACACCCACCCTCATTATACCTCCCTTCATCAATGTTTACCTTCATCACACTCTACCCTCACACACCTACCATTACAATGCTGCCTCATCATCACCTTCCGCCCTCACACCCACTCCTTATCACACTCCTGCCTCATCACACCTGTCTTTCTTACCTCCTTCTCCATCAACCTTCATCACACCTGCCCTACACCTTCACTCACACCTACGCTTTCTACATAACACCTTTCCCCTTACACCTACCCTTCATCACATCCACCCTTATCACACCTACCTTCATCACACCTACCCTCATCACACCTACCCTTACACCTGCTCTCTATCACACTCACACCTTCCCTATCACACTCTACCGTTTTACACCTACTCTTTGTTCACACACACCTCTTATCACACATACCTTCATCACACCTACCCTCACACCCCACCCTCATCTGACCTACCCTCTCATGCCTACCTCCACCACACTCCCTCATCTGACCTCTTCTCTCATTATCATTATTGATTATTTTATAGACTGTTATTAAATAGTTGGAATATTGCTGAGAGGGAGCTTGAAACAACAAAACCATTACAACATGGACATCTCTTAGTCTCTCACCTCCTGGAATCCGGTACTCCTCCATCAATGCCTACATCACCATGTCCCTTCTACACTCCTTCTCATCAATGCCTTACATCACAATGTCTCCTACACTCTCCATCAATGCCTACATCACAATGTCCCTCTACACTCCTCCATCAATGCCTACATCACCATGTCCTCTACACCTCCTCCATCAATGCCTTCATCACCATGTCCTCTACACTCCTCCATCAATGCCTATATCACCTCATGTCCCCTACTACACTCCTCCATCAATGCTTACATCACCATGTCCCCTACACTCCTTCATCAATGCCTACATCACCATGTCCCCTACACTCCTTCATCAATGCGCTATATCACAATGTCCTACAATTCTCCATCAATGCCTACATCACCAATGTCCTCTACACTCCTTCATCAATGCCTACATCACCAATGTCCTCTTACACTTCCTCCATCAATGTCTACATCACAATGTCCTCTACACTCCTCCATCAATGTCTACATCACCATGTCCTCTACACTCCTTCCATCAATGTCTACATCACAATGTCCTCTACACTCCTTCATCAATGCCTACATCACAATGTCCTCTACACTCCTCCATCAATGCCTACATCACAATGTCCTCTACACTCCTCCATCAATGCCTACATCACAATGTCCTCTACACTCCTCCATCAATGTCTACATCACAATGTCCTCTACACTCCTTCATCAATCAATGTCCTCTACATCATCAATGTCTACATCACAATGTCACACTCCTCCATCAATGTCTACATCACAATGTCCTCTACACTCCTCCATCAATGTCTACATCACCTTGTCCTCTACACTCCTCCATCAACGCCTACATCACTCCTTCATCAGTGCCTACATCACAATGTCCTCTACACTCCTCCATCAATGTCTACATCACCACGTCCTCTACACTCCTTCATCAATGTCTACATCACAATGTCCTCTACACTCCTTCATCAATGTCTACATCACAATGTCCTCTACACTCCTCCATCAATGTCTACATCACAATGTCCTCTACACTCCTCGCATCAATGTCTACATCACAATGTCCTCTACACTCCTTGATCAATGTCTACATCACAATGTCCTCTACACTCCTCCATCAATGTCTACATCACCATGTCCTCTACACTCCTCCATCAATGTCTACATCACAATGTCCCTACACTCCTCCATCAATGTCCTACATCACCTTGTCCCTCTACACATTCTCCTCCATCAATGCCATCATCATCAATGCCTCTTTGTCCTATCATCAATGTCCTCTACACTCTCCATCAACGCTTACTGTGGGGTAGCCTAGTGGTTGAAACGCTGGTTCTCGCCACACCAAAGACCCGGTTCAATCCCCTAAATGGGTACAATGTGTGAAGCCCACTTCTGGTCTCCTCATGTGATGTTGCTGGAATATTGCTAAAAGCGGCGTAGTGAAACCAAACTCTCAGTCAGTCAGTCCATCAACGCCTTTCTACATCACAATGTCTTCTACGCCTCCATCAATGCCTACATCATATGTCTCTACACTCATCAATGTCTACATCACCATGTCCTCTACACTCCCTACATCAACGTCCATCACACATCACCATGTCCTCTACACCTCCTCATCAACGCCTACATCACCTTGTCCCCTACACTTCTCATCAATCATCATCATATCCGCTACATCATCAACGCCTACATCACCATGTCTCTCTACTCCATCAACGCCTACATCACCATGTCCCTTTACACTCCTACATCCAATGTCCACATCACCATGTCCCCTACACTCCATATCGCTTTACACGCCTTCATTTGACAAAAATCATCTGTGTGTCTTCATATGTGAACATTTCTTACACATTTCCTACACTCTCATATTACGTGTTACCCACAGACCTGCAGGATGATGTTGGCCATGTTGTTGATGATCCTGGGGATGTCTGGGATGGTTTCGATGACATGGATGCAGCTTGCCACATTGACCCTGTGTGTGATGCTGATACAGAAGAGTCCCCTCAGAAAAAAGTTTCAGCAACAACACCGGGAAAGAAGCACTATACCCATAAAAGAAACATCACCATAAATACGACTGAGAGATCTCTAGCAACTCCAGGAACATCAGCTGAGTATGGTCACTCCTCACGTAGACCAGTGTCTGATGTAAGTTGGTCTCTTTTAGTTATAATGTCTGGGATATCTCCTTTCTGGTAATGTTATATTAATGTTATATGACTGGTCCCAGTCATCCAACTTACTGCAATTCACAGTGTAGAGTTGCTTCCCTTGAGTGTGCCAGGAACCTGTCATCTTGGGTTGATAATGCTCCAAGGTTTGTCAGCACCTGTCACTCAGGGTTTGACCAAAGTAGAAGATGTGTGCAGACCTGCATCATTTCCAACTTCCCTGTCATATAACTCTGCCAGTCCAGGGTAATGTTACAAAACAAAATGTGTCCCTATAAAGCGGCCAGCAAGACAGTGGTGGCTGACAAGTCAGCATGAGCTATGCACTTCCATTTGATCCCGAACAGGCCCTTGACATATGAGACTGCCATGCACTTGCATTTGATCTGGGATTGGCACTTGACATAAGAGAACTGTGTTAGTCCAGACATGCAGCTAACACTGGAGTTTCTAGCTGTCAGCGCGGCAGTGACTGGTTGACAAGTGCACATGAGCAGAGCGCTGACCTTGGGCGCTGGACAGGCTGTTGACATGAAGAACTGACCAGTGCTTTTATCTGTTCAGACATGCAGTTCACCTTCTTGCACCTTTTTGTGTCAACCTTGTACTTTGTTATGTTATGTGACATGGCCTTAAACCCAACCCATCAATTCCTGTATATTTACATCAGGAGGAAAGTATTCCTGAATGAAGTTCCAGGCAAATGTTGGGAGGGTCTTGACGGCTGAATTTAAGTATTAAGAACAAATATTTGTAATTATAGCTTTGTGTGAATTTGATTTGTAATATATTATTCTGGGCCAGGATGACGACTCTCTACCTTCACCAGGGAGAGTAGATGCAGGGGAAGCAACTCTGGACTTCGAGGTGCCAGATGCTGACAGCTTGTTGTGGAATGATGACAATGCTCCAAATATGGAGCCAAGCCCCCAAGTGCATGGTGACAAAGGGAGACAACTCCAGCAGGTACCATCTGAGGATATATCACCCAGTTTTACTCCAGCAGTAGCAATGTCTATACAAGGGATCGCCTGAACTGTTCCTCCATAGTATCAAATTAAAACTGATCTTCTTGTATTGATTCTGCAGCAGCAAGAATCTGAATAGAACTTGTTAATACATTACACAGATGAGGTCAGTTGATCAAAATTTCAAACATTACACTTAACACCCAGATCAGTCTTTGGAATAGAGTTACAATCTTTGAAGCGCTAAGATCTCCCTGTGGAATGGGGTCCACTGTAATATGAAAGTTACTCTCAGTTCAGTGGTAGAAATGGTTTTACAACAGGCTTGGTACTAGCATGAATGTTTTGAATGCAGCCAGTGTAAAGTGTGGCAGTTAACATCATGTTAGTGGTACAAGCACTCGATGAAAGAGGGTCATGGTAAATATATCAGTTGTGATAATATTGCAGCTCAGTTCACAGTGTGCCAGGTAAATATGGCAGAGATAACCATCTTAGTGCTAAGATCACTCTGTGGAATGGGGTCAAGGTAAATATTACAGTTATAACCATCTTAGTGCTAAAATTACTCTGTGAAATGGGTTCTAGGTAAATATTGCAGTTATAACCATCTTAGTGCTAAGATCACTCCATGGAATGGAGTCCAGAGACATATTGCAGTTATAACCAGCTTAGTGCTAAGATCACTCTGTGGAATGGAGTCCAGGTAAATATTGCAGTTATAACCATCTTAGTGCTAAAATTACTCTGTGAAATGGTTTCTAGGTAAATATGTCAGTTATAACCATCTTAGTGCTAAGATCACTCTGTGGAATGGCGTCCAGGTAAATATTGCAGTTATAACCATCTTAGTGCTAAGATCACTCCATGGAATGGGGTCCAGATACATATTGCAGTTATAACCAGATTAGTGCTAAGATCACTCTGTGGAATGGGGTTGCAGTTTTATCCTTCTTAGTGCTAATATAAATGTGGAATGGATTCTAGGGAAATATGGCAGTTATAACCGTCTTTATGCTTAGATCACTCTGTGGAATGGCGTCCAGGTAAATATGGCAGTTCCCCTGGTCATCATGAATACAACACTACATTGATTCTGTTTCTGTACATGACAGGTGGCAGACTTCCAGACCCCAGTGACCACTAAACCAACAAAGACTGCAAGAAAACTGATACCACCATCGCCATTCACGCCAATGCCAAATTACGACAACATGAACACCCCCAGACTAAAGGTATAGGGCATCACAGCTATAGTACACATGCATGCAGCAGTTACCTTCATGGAAACAAAGAATTGAGTTGCAATCTGTCATATCAGTATTTTTGTTCACTGCCATCCTCAGTGCTTTATTTGAACACAGTGTGATGTGGTAGGATGCTGGTTATCTTCACCTGTAATGCACAAGTGTTAGTTTGGGTGAACTATACAAGGCCATGTCAGGTGACCTATGTGATAGCAGTGTAACACACTCGGTCATACAACATAAAAGTTTGCAACAGGTTTGTTTTTATGTCCAGCAAGAAGTGGGCAAGTTCGGAGTGCGGCCAGTGGGGAAGAAACGGATGGTGGGCCTATTGAAGGACATCTACCACAAGACTCACCAGTGTAAGTTGGATGTTTTTAAAAGGACGTTAGTGTATGTTGGATGGTGTTGAAGGACATCAGTCTATGTTGGTTGGTGTTGAAGGACATAAATGTCTGTCTGGGTTGTGTTAGAGAATATCGTGTAGGTTTCTTAAACGAGGTGAGAGTAGATTGAAGTTTGTTGCAAATGTAAGTTATAGAACTTCTTGAACTTTATTTTGCTTGTTTCCTTCTTCTCTGACAGATGAGACAGACAGTGATTATGACCCAAAGAGCACCTCTCCCCAGAGGCCTGCTGATAGAACTAGTAAGTCCACTGTGGCCAAAGATGAAACCGCAACCAGACTCAGCAAGTCCACTGTGGCCAAAGATGGAGCAAGAGATCGATCCAGTAAGTCCAAAGATGGTGCAGGAGGTCGACCCAGTAAGTCCTCTGTGGGCAAAGATGAAACCGCAACCAGACCCAGCAAGTCCACTGTGGCCAAAGATGGAGCAAGAGATCGACCCAGTAAGTCCAAAGATGGTGCAGGAGATCGACCCAGTAAGTCATCTTTGATGAAAGATGATGCCAGAAGCAAACCCAGTAAATGTACACTAGGTCAAGGCGACCGGTACAGTAATGTTAGGGCTCCCGAGTCTTCAGCATCTGAAGAAGGAAGCAGTCAGCGAAGTGTGACATCATCCCAGGATTCAGGGCGTAGGTAGGTGGTGTGTGTCCATGTCGGTCTTTGTCCATCTGCATTTGTGTCTGTGTATGTGTGTATGTGTCTGGGTGTGTTCACAGACACCAGGTATTATTGTAAATCATGTAAAACTTTCTCAACTCTTCCAGTAATTTGTAGACTTATTTAACTTTGAATAAAGACATGATGTTGGCAATGGCAGGAGGCAACTTACACAACTCACTGTAAGAGTATTGTTGCCGAGATGGTTATCAGTGGTTTCCTGTGTACAGTGATAGAACGCTCTTCTTTCAGTGAAGTCCCGGAGGAGAGCTTCATGATGGACGATGAGGAAATATCAGCATCACAGCAGGTATTACCGTAGATCATGCCGTATATGTTAAGGGTTTTGGTAGAAAGGGGTCACCTGAATCCCATTAGGATCACAGCAGGTATTACTGTAGATCATGCAGTATATGCCAAGGGTTTGGGAAGAAAGGGGGTCACCTTGGCTTCAGGTAAAACTGACAGTCTACCAAACCACGAGGACGATAGTATCACAGCAGGTATTACCGAAGATCATGCAGTATACGGCCAGGGTTTGGGAAGAAAGGGGGTCACCTGTATCCTCTCAGTATCACAGCAGGTATTACCGTAGATCATGCAGTATACGGCCAGGGTTTGGGGAGAAAGGGGGTCACCTGTGTCCTCTCTGCACCACAGCAGGTATTACTGTAGATCAGGCAGTATACGGCCAGGGTTTGGGGAGAAAGGGGGTCACCTGTGTCCTCTCTGCACCACAGCAGGTATTACTGTAGATCAGGCAGTATACGGCCAGGGTTTGGGGAGAAAGGGGGTCACCTGTGTCCTCTCTGCACCACAGCAGGTATTACTGTAGATCAGGCAGTATACGGCCAGGGTTTGGGGAGAAAGGGGGTCACCTGTATCCTCTCTGCACCACAGCAGGTATTACTGTAGATCAGGCAGTATATGTCAATAGTTTGGGTAAAAATCAGTTTTGTAACACATTATAGCTATGTTGATGATCAGTTTTGTCATGTAACACAACATAGCTATTTGGACAATCAGTTTAGTCAACTGCTACCAAAACGATATATCTACTAGGAATTACTGAATGTGGATAAAGTGCATTGTTGACATTATTCCTGTGTTAACAGAGTATAATTCAGTAATGAAAGTACACTGTAATAACATTTGTTTTTGTTAGCAGGTGAACCAACAGGACATACAGCAGAAGCTGATCGCATTCATCAGGCAGAGATCCGATATTCACACAAAGCTTATGATGTACGAGGTGAGTATCCTCTCAACTTTGTTCTTAAGTGTCCACAGTATTCAGTATTCCTGAGTTCTTTGAATTCAGTATTCCTGTGTTCACAGTATTCAGTATTCCTGTGTAGACAGTATTCAGTATTCCTGTGTTCACAGTATTCAGTATTCCTGTGTAGACAGTGTTCAGTATTCCTGTGCTAACAGTATTCAATATTCCTGTGTTGACAGTAGTCAGTATTCCTGTGTTGACAGTATTCAGTATTCTTGTGTTGACAGTAGTCAGTATTCCTGTGTTGACAGTAGTCAGTATTCCTGTGTTGACAGTATTCCTGTGTTGACGGCATTCAGTATTCCTGTGTTGTCACTAGTCAGTATTCCTGTGTAGACAGTATTCCTGTGTTGACAGTATTCCTGTGTTGACAGTATTCAGTATTCCTGTGTTGTCAGTAGTCAGTATTCCTTTGTTGACAGTATTCCTGTGTTGACAGTATTCAGTATTCCTGTGTTGTCACTAGTCAGTATTCCTGTGTAGACAGTATCCCTGTTTAGTCAATATTCCTGTGTTGACAGTATTCACTATTCCTGTGTTGTCAGTATTCAGTATTCCTGTGTTGACAGTATTCACTATTCCTGTGTTGACAGTATTCAGTATTCCTGTGTTGTCAGTAGTCAGTATGCCTGTGTTGACAGTATTCAGTATTCCTGTGTTGACAGTATTCAGTATTCCTGTGTTGTCAGTAGACAGTATTCCTGTGTTGACAGTATTCAGTATTCCTGTGTTGACAGTATTCCTGTGTTGACAGTATTCAGTATTCCTGTGTTGTCAGTATTTCTGTGTTGTCAGTATTCAGTATTCCTGTGTAGACAGTATTCAGTATTCCTGTGTTGTCAGTAGTCAGTATTCCTGTGTTGACAGTATTCCTGTGTTGACAAGTATTCCTGTGTTGTCAGTATTTCTGTGTTGTCAGTATTCAGTATTCCTGTGTAGACAGTATTCAGTATTCCTGTGTTGTCAGTAGTCAGTATTCCTGTGTCGACAGTATTCCTGTGTTGACAGTATTCAGTATTCCTGTGTTGTCAGTATTTCTGTGTTGACAGTATTCCTGTGTTGACAGAAGTCAGTATTTCTGTGTTGACAGTATTCCTGTGTTGACAGCCACTGGAGCTGGACTGGCTGAAGCGCGAGATCCAGGAGGCCGGCATCAAGTGCCCCATGCAGAAACTCATGGACTTCCTTGATGAGAAGGTAGTGTCAATACAATAGGTCCACAGGACGCTCTTACTTGTTGTAAGATCTGAATACGTTTCATGTAGTTATCACACTCAATTATTTATTGATAGTTAGTCATATGTGGGATGTTGCACGTGATGTAAACCATCAGTTTGACATGAATGTGGTGGGCATGATGGGGCTGGACTATTGCTGACATCAATGTGGTGGGCATGATGGGGCTGGACTATTGCTGACATCAATGTGGTGGGCATGATGGGGCTGGACTATTGCTGGCATCAATGTGGTGGGCATGATGGGGCTGGACTATTGCTGACATGAATGTGGTGGGCATGATGGGGCTGGACTATTGCTGACATGAATGTGATGGGCATGATGGGGCTGGACTATTGCTGACATGAATGTGGTGGGCATGATGGGGCTGGACTATTGCTGACATGAATGTGGTGGGCATTATGGGGCTGGACTATCGCTGACTGTGGTGGTCAGGGAACAGCAAGTCTCCAGCATCCCATGATTGGGTTGAAGGTGGACTAAGCTGAGGACTTAGCGGTAACCGTGGTTACCGATTCAACATGGCTTGTCTGGTCCAGTCCATGTTCTGTCAACACAGGCTTGTCTGGTCCAGATGTCATGCTAGTGCTTGTAATTCGCTGGTGAAAGATTGCAGAGTTAAGTAGTGCTTATAGACAATTCGCTCGTCAAGCCGAAGACCCGGGTTCGATTCCCCACATGGGTACAATGTGTGAAGCCTATTTCTGGTGTCCCCCACCGTGATATTGCTGGAATATTGCTAAAAAGCGGCGTAAACCATACTCACTCATTCACTCACTCGCTTATAGACATGTTATAACCCATTTATGGTTTCATTTGGATAAATATGTCAGGAGTTGTGAGAGTGTGTGATCTCTGTTACAGTGAGTGTGTGATCTCTGTTACAGTGAGTGTGTGATCTCTGTTACAGTGAGTGTGTGATCTCTGTTACAGTGCCTGACGTTCACCATGAAGAAGATGACCAAGAGGAACACAAACCGGCGACAACCGAAACGCAAGAAGAAGGTCAAGCTTCCTGCCGCTGCTGTGTGATGATCTCCAGTGAAATAGTGACACTCTAGGGAACATGTGACTCTCCAGGGAATATATGATGCTCTAGGGAACATGTGACTCTCCAGGGAATATATGATGCTCTAAGGAACATGTGACACTTTAGGGAACATGTGACTCTCTAGGGAACATGCGACGCTCCAGGGAATATTTGACGCTCTAGGGAACATGTGACTCTCTAGGGAACATGTGACATTCCAGGGAATGTTTGATGCTCTAGGGAACATGTGACTCTCTAGGGAACGTGATGCTCCAGGGAATATTTGACACTGTAGGGAACACGTGACACTGCAGGGAACATTTGATACTCTAGGGAACATATGACTCTCCAGGGAATATTTGACTCTCTAGGGAACATTCCTGCTCTAGGGAACATTTTACGCTCTCTAGGGAACATTTGACGCACGAGGGAACATTTGACACTCTATTGAACTTGTGATACTCCAGAGAATATTTGCCGCTCTGGGGAACATGTGACCCTCCAGGGAACATGTGATGCTGTCTCGGGAATATTCAAGGCAACATGTGGAACTCTCCAGGAAATATGTGACACTGTAGGGAACGGAACATTCTCTGGGGAATACATGATTCTCTTTGGGTAGTGGGATACTCTGTGATTACACTCTCAGGGGAATATGCATCCATTCGATGTTGACATGAGCGACTTTAACACAAAAAACCCTCTCTTTTATTGTGATATGTGCGACCTCTGAAATGACAATAAAAGAGACATCTATTCAATGGTGAAACATCACACCCTCTCTCCTGTGATAACACTAGACTCAGCTCTCCAGTGAGAATATGCGAGACTCTATTCCTGTGATGTCTGAGACCTCTCACTCGTGACGTTTCCACCTCCTCCACAGCGGGTTCTCTAGCTGTAATGCACGGTCAAGTGAACTTTAGTTTTAATTGTTTCTGGAGTAAAAAGTTTATTTCTTTTACTTAGTTTCTCTGTTTTAAGGTTCAGGTGGTTAAGGAAGACAGAATGCTGTCTTGATAGAGTATAGGTTGATGGTTCTTAAATCTCATTCAAATCAGATGAGCCCTACTGCTACACCAAACAACCATTACAGGTCAGATCAGAATGACCTTTAACAAACTGACCAATCTAAAGTGACTAACTTATCTTGACATTAGCCAATCAGATAGCAGCTTACACAAGCTTAAAGGCTCTTTTGTGAAACTGGCTACTTCCATTCCAGACAACACATAAACAAATGTTTTGACAAAGTTCTCAACCTGAGCAAAAGAAAATTTTGGAATGCTAATGTATCACGGGGATTGAATGGCAGGACTTTCTATGGAAGTCTCTCTGATTCATGTTTTGGGACGAAGGGAGAAGTAGATGTTGATGGCATCAGTCACACCGTTACTGTTGTTCAGAATACCCTGTTAAGCTTATCAAGGTTGCAAGATCAGAAAACATTAAAACTGTAGTTTTCATGATCTTGTAAGCAACACTTTGATTGGCCAGATGTGAGTTTGTTCTTATGTAACCAGTAATGGGATTGCTTGAGATGTTTAGGACTAACAAGAACTGAGAACTGATTATAATGAGATTGATGACTCTTCGGTTTAGTATATGTCTGAAATAATCATTATATTTACTATTTAATAGTGTTATTTGTATTTCCAATCATTGATCAGATTTCTTTTACATGTCTTCAGTTTATTTTGTTAATTGATTTGCAGTATTAATCAATAATTTATTGTTAACAACAACGTTTTTGTCATCTGTGAGTGAGGAACAAGACTGTCATACTGCCCATCACCAACCTGTTACGAGTGCTGAAGTTTGTATTTATTCTGTGAGCTGTTTTAATAAACAGGTTTCAATATCTGTTCAACTTCATGTTTATATTAAATTCCTTTCTTGACAATGAAACACCAACATCAACTCCCCCGTCCATCACAGGAAACACCTACATCAACTCCTCCATCCACCACAGGAAACACGTACATCAACTCCTCCATCCATCACAGGAAACACCTACACCAACTCCTCCATCCATCTCAGGAAACACCTACACCAACTCCTCCGTCCATCACAGGAAACACCTACATCAACTCCTCCATTCATCACAGGAAACACCTACTCCTCCATCCGTTACAGGAAACACCTACACCAACTCCTCCATCCATCACAGGAAACACCTACACCAACTCCTCCATCCATCACAGGAAACACCTACACCAACTCCTCCGTCCATCACAGGAAACACTATACACCAACTCCTCCGGTCCCTCAAAGAAACACTCTACATCAACTCTCTCCGTCCATCACAGGAAACACTTCTACACCAACTCCTCCATCCATCACAGGAAACACTCTACATCAACTTCCTCCATCCATCACAGGAAACACTCTACATCTACTCCTCCATCCATCTCAGGAAACACTTGCTACACCAACTCTCCCCTCCATCATCAGGGGAAACACTCTACACTCTACTTTCTCCTATCCATCACAGGAAACACCTACATCAACTCTCCATCCATCACAGGAAACACTCTACACCAACTCCTCCATCCATCACAGGAAACACTCTACACCAACTCCCTCCATCCATCACAGGAAACACTCTACACCAACTCCTCCATCTATCACAGGAAACACCTCTACACCAACTCCTCCATCCATCACAGGAAACACTCTACATCTACTCCTCCATCCATCAAGCAGGAAACACCTACACCAACTCCCTCCATCCATCACAGGAAACACGTACACCAACTCCTCCATCTTCTCACAGGAAACACCTACACCAACTCCTCCATCCATCACAGGAAACACTCTACACCCAACTCCTCCATCCATCACAGGAAACACTCTACACCAACTCCTCCATCCATCTCAGGAAACACCTACACCAACTCCCATTCATCAAGGAAACACTCTATATCAACTCCTCCATCCATCACAGGAACACACTCTACACCAACTCTCCCATCCATCACAGGAAAACACTCTACACAACTCCTCCATCCATCACAGGAAACACCTACACCAACTCCCCGTCCATCACAGGAAACACCTACACCAACTCTCCTCCATCCATCACAGGAAACACTTACACCAACTCCTCCATCCATCACAGGAAACACTCTAAATCAACTCCTCCTCCCATCCATCACAGGAAACACCTACACTAACTTCCTCCATCCATCACAGGAAACACCTACACCAACTCCTCCAGTCCATCACAGGAAACACTCTACATCAACTCCTCCATCCATCACAGGAAACACTCTACACCAACTCCCCATCCATCACAGGAAACACTTTACATCAACTCCTCCATCCATCACAGGAAACACTTACACCAACTCCTCCATCCATCACAGGAAACACTTACATCAACTCCTCCATCCATCACAGGAAACACTCTACATCAACTTTCCATCCATCACAGGAAACACTTCTACACCAACTCCTCCATCCATCACAGGAACACACTAACATCAAACTCCTCCATCCATCACAGGAAACACATACACACAACTCCTCTATCCATCACAGGAAACACATACACCAACTCCTCCATCCATCACAGGAAACACTCTACACCAACTCTTCCATCCATCACAGGAAATACCTACACCAACTTCCTCTCCATCCATCACAGGAAACACTTATACCAACTCCTCCATCCATCACAGGAAACACTCTACACCAACTCCTCCATCCATCACAGGAAACACCTACACCAACTTCCTCCATCCATCACAGGAAACACTCTACATCAACTCCTCCATCCATCACAGGAAACACTCTACACCAACTCCTCCATCCCTCACAGGAAACACTCATCAACTCCTCCATCCATCACAGGAAACACCTCCACAACTCCTCCTGTCCATCACAGGAAACACTTAACATCAACTCATCCTTCCCTCCATCCATCAGGAAATACTCTACACTAACTCCTCCATCCATCACAGGAAACACTTATAAACTTAATCCACTCTCGATCCATCACAGGAAACACTTCTACACCAACTCCTCCATCCATCACAGGAAACACTCTACACCAACTCTTCCATCCATCACAGGAAACACCTACACCAACTCCTCCATCCATCACAGGAAACACCAACATCAACTTCTCCATCCATCACAGGAAACACTCTACACCAACTCTTCCTATCCATCACAGGAAACACTCTACACCAACTCCTCCGTCCATCACAGGAAACACTCTATACCAACTCCTCTGTCCATCACAGGGAAACACCTTACACCAACTCCAGGATACACTCCGTCAATCACAGGGAAACACTCTACACTAACTCCTCCATCCATCACAGGAAACACCTACATCAACTCCTCCATCCATCACAGGAAACACCTACACCAACTCCTCCATCCATCACAGGAAACACCTACACCAACTCCTCCATCCATCACAGGAAACACCTACACCAACTCCTCCATCCATCACAGGAAACACCTACACCAACTCCTCCATCCATCACAGGGAAACACCTACACTAACTCCTCCGTCCATCACAGGAAACACTCTACACCAACTCCTCCATCCATCACAGGAAACACTTCTACACTAACTCCTCCTCCATCCATCACAGGAAACACTTACACCAACTCCTCCATCCATCACAGGAAACACTCTACACCAACTCCTCCATCCATCACAGGAAACACCTACACCAACTCTCCATCCATCACAGGAAACACTCCACATCAACTCCTCCATCCATCACAGGAAACACCTACACCAACTCTTCCATCCATCACAGGGAAACACCTACACCAACTCCTCCATCCATCACAGGAAACACTTACACCAACTCTCCTCCATAGGAATATACTCTATCCTCCGTCATCAGGAAACACCTACATCAACTCCTCCGTCCATCACAGGAAACACCTACACCAACTCCTCCATCCATCACAGGAAACACCTACACCAACTCCTCCATCCATCACAGGAAACACCTACACCAACTCCTCCATCCATCACAGGAAACACCTACACCAACTCCTCCTGTCCATCACAGGAAACACCTACACCAACTCCTCCATCCATCACAGGAAACACCTACACACAAACTCCTCCGTCCATCACAGGAAACACCTACATCCAACTCCCCGTCCATCACAGGAAACACCTACACCAACTCCTCCCCATCACAGGAAACACCTACACCCACTTCATCCATCACAGGAAACACCTACACCAACTTCATCCATCACAGGAAACACTCTACATCAACTCCCCGTCCATCACAGGAAACACTCTACACCAACTTCTCCATCCATCACAGGTAACACTCTACACCAACTCCTCCATCCATCACAGGAAACACTCTACACCAACTCCTCCGTCCATCACAGGAAACACTCTACACCAATTCCTCCGTCCATCACTGGAAACACCTACATCAACTCCCCGTCCATCACAGGAAACACCTACACCAACTTCATCCATCACAGGAAACACCTACACCAACTCCTCCATCCATCACAGGAAACACCTACACCAACTCCTCCGTCCATCACAGGAAACACCTACACCAACTCCTCCGTCCATCACAGGAAACACCTACATCAACTCCTCCATCCATCACAGGAAACACCTACATCAACTCCTCCATCCATCACAGGAAACACATACACCAACTCCTCCATCCATCACAGGAAACACCTACACCAACTCCTCCATCCATCACAGGAAACATCTATACCTACTCCTCCGTCCATCACAGGAAACACCTACACCAACTCCCCGTCCATCACAGGACATACCTACACCAACTCCTCCATCCATCACAGGAAACACCTACATCAACTCCTCCATCCATCACAGGAAACACCTACATCAACTCCTCCATCCATCACAGGAAACACCTACACCAACTCCTCCATCCATCACAGGACACACCTACACCAAGCCCTCCATCCATCACAGGAAACACCTACACCAACTCCTCAGTCCCTCACAGAAACACCCACATCTACTCCTCCATCCATCACAGGAAACACCTACAGCAACTCCCCCGTCCATCACAGGAAACACCTACACCATACTCCTCGATCCATCACAGGAAACACCTACACCAACTCCTCCATCCATCACAGGAAACACCTACACCAACTCCTCCATCCATCACAGGAAACACCTACATCAACTCCTCCGTCCATCACAGGAAACACCTACATCAACTCCCCCGTCCATCACAGGAAACACCTACACCAACTTCATCCATCACAGGAAACACCTACACCAACTTCATCCATCACAGGAAACATCTACACCAACTTCATCCATCACAGGAAACACCTACACTAACTCCTCCGTCCATCACAGGAAACACCTATACCAATTCCTCCGTCCATCACAGGAACACCTACATCAACTCCCCCGTCCATCACAGGAAACACCTACACCAACTTCATCCATCACAGGAAACACCTACACCAACTTCATCCATCACAGGAAACACCTACACCAACTTCATCCATCACAGGAAACACCTACATCAACTCCCCCGTCCATCACAGGAAACATCTACACCAACTTCATCCATCACAGGTAACACCTACACCAACTTCATCCATCACAGGAAACACCTACACTAACTCCTCCGTCCATAATAGGAAACACCTACTCCAATTCCTCCGTCCATCACTGGAAACACCTACATCAACGCCCCGTCCATCACAGGAAACACCTACACCAACTTCATCCATCACAGGAAACACCTACACCAACTTCATCCATCACAGGAAACACCTACATCAAACCCCCCACCCCCTCCATCACAGGAAACACCTACACCAACTTCATCCATCACAGGAAACACCTACACCAACTTCAT